TTTAAAGGTTTTATTGATCCAGCTGTCACAAAATCCTGCAACTCTGAGCCAGAAACATCCAATGAGATTGTGGAAAAATGGGAAAGTCTTCGACACAAAGAATCAGGATGCAAAAAAAAAATTAAAATCATCTTTTCAAACAGTTTGACTCACGTGTATCTTTTCACGAAGGAGCGACGATGTAATTATGTGACACACACCACCTGGATGTGTCATGAACACTGATAATCTTTGAAAAACAAATGTTAACCTTGGGGCACTGTTTCATAAGCCTCAGGTGCCAAAAGAAAGGCCCTCCAAGGACTTCTAAGAAATAATTTAGATAGCCTTTTAGCTGCTTCCATTATGCGGCTACATCAGAGCTCCCTTGGCAAAACAGGAAACATACAAAAACTCTTTCAGACCAAATGCATAAACCATTTCACAGAAGACAAAAATAGATGGCCACTCCTTTCACACCGTGTAGTTTTGCACACCTGCTCTGATTTATTTACGTATATTTTTGTGTTTTGAATGTCATTAGTCCTTTGAGGTTGAATAGGTTTGTGAGTCTAATCAAACTGTTCCTCCATTAATAATTCAATAAACTTTTTTTCTGCCTGTAAATCTGAACATCTTTTTAAGAAGATCCCAGTCTAAACAACTGGATGCACATGAAGAGCTGATTAGTTTTCCTTGTGGGGAAAAAGGGTAATTTTTTTTAGGCGTATTCTTCCTGCACTGCTTTTATCTGGAGAAGTGCTGGTTTAACATTGTTCAAAGCAACTCATGAAAGTGAAAGGACTGTTGTGCAATGAAAGGATTGTCAAATAAGCCGTGGGGCAAAATTGAACTTTGATCATGCAAAGAAAAACTACTAAACCGCAGAAACTGATGCAGCCTTTTTCTACCTGCTCCTTGAAGCGCTTTCAAAAGATCCCACACTGCAGATTCTTGTTGTAATTGTTTATGTTCATTAAGAATTGCAAAGTTTTACACTATTTTGTGGAAAGCTGCTGTGTCACATGCACGTTTGGACAGAAGCTATCGACATGTTTTACTTTATCATTTAGAAAGAAGCAGAATGAAGAAGACTGGAGGCTTGAGTAATGAGGTTTACGGTCTGCCTGATAGTGTGTTGCTTGAATTCAAAGCAGTTTTTCACCCATTCACTCTGCCAGACTCCATAAATGTTCTGTGACATCTGTAATTAAGAAGCTTGAAGTTTTAAATATTAAAGATTTTCTACAACTCTACACCACTACAAAGGAAAAGAGTGGAGAACAAATTTGGTCAAAGACATAATGATCTAATGGCTTTATTGATGAATAGAAACTGAACTAGTGTGTACTGTAATCTGTGATAAGTACACATTACTCTGGAAACCTTCTGTTTTAATTAATCATTAGGGGGAAAAATCATATTTTTTAAAGTGGTAAATTATATTTCTAAGTCCTTAATTTACCCAAGTACAGATGATAGCCACATTCTCATTCTTTTTTTTTATTTTCTATTTTGCAATGAATAATTATCTAAGCTGTTAATAAGCCAGTTGCTTATAACCAAAACTGGTTATCAAAACAAAAAATAAATAAAACATCATTCAAGAATAACCCTTCCTAAAATATATTGAGATCAACATTCAAAAATAACAAAAATCTTCCAAAAATAAATAAAAATATACTGTAAAATATAACGTACAGTGGGTCAGAAATAAAGTTTTTGTATCTGCAGATGTACAAAAATATACTTGCATATGTGTTAAAGACAAACCCCCACTCTGTGTTTAAGTTTTAAAAGCAAAGCACTGCAATTGATTTGTTTAACCACAAGTGTGTCTGAATGCGAATTCTTAGTTCAAGCACAAAGTATAACCCCAGGCATGTGGATAAACATCTATCTGAGAACCTGAGCAGGTTGCATTGCCACCACTCAGCATCGAGTTGCATCAGATTGTGCTGCTGTTTGGACTTTTTACTTATTCTGCTTTCCATCACTACGTGACTACAGACGGTGCTTTGTTTTGTTTTGCTGTTGTAACTGAGAACTGTCAACAATACAGAGTCCCCAAGACAGGACCGCATGTCAGATGTCCGCAAACATTACTGTCCTCTTCTTCAAGAAAGGGTTAAAAGATTCAAGCTGAGCTATTTTTTGATCCGTCTGCAGCCAAATAATGATTAATATCCCTCTGTAGCTTCCTGAAAGTCGCTTTATCACACTTGTATGACTGAAGCAGCTTAAAAGGCTTGTTCCATTAAAATCTAATCATCATTGACGCAGTGTGATTGCCAGGATAACCCATCATGGCCACCTGGCACAGAGTTTCTATAAATTCCCACATGGGTGATTAGATGTATGAAGTTTTGAACATTTAAAGGAAAAGGACAACATTAAGTCAGAATAATTGACGATTTTGTGCAAGAATGGAAAGACAATGTCAACGCAGAAGTGTGTCTGCATCAACTTCTGCGCTGATGTTTGCAGACCGCATCAATATTTTCTCTAGTGGAATTGATAAATAATGCATGAGTGGTTTATCACAAGCTAGAAAACGTAATGTGTTGTTGGAACTCTCTGGAAGCAGGGATGGACTTTTTTTTTTTTTTTACAAATAAGCAATGCTGGGCCAAATTGGTTTCCATCAGTATAAATCAAGTTGAGTTCTTTTGAGAAATATGCTGAGCGAAAAAACTGCTGGGCTGAGAGCAGAGCTTCCTTTATGCTCCAGAATATAAGTTATTCATACCATCCAGTTAAGTTAGTGAAAGTTTTGAAGGAGCAACTAACAGTTCGCTCAGTTCTGTGCAGGTTCAGCATGCGAGTCACTTTTAATACGATCACACCACATTTGTTGCAATGATTTGGCACAGCTGGATTTTAAAGCATAAAATAAAATTGGTTGAAAAGAACAACCAATTTTACATTTACTTTTATTGGCTTTTGATGGTAAAACAGGGATGACTCAGCCAAGTTCAGACATGTTGAAAAGTCAATGTTCTTTTAATAATTGAAATCCCTTTTCAGAAAATATTTGGCACTGATGTAACCCATTTTACGATCGCTATGCCAGTTCCATTACAGGAATTAATCTTAGAAAGAATGACGACATTATGCTGGAAAGAGCAATCAGATCGAATCCCCATCTATTTGGAACAAGTCAGAAAAACACTTCCTGTTGGTGCTGATGAGTTTAAATGCAGTAAGATGTGAATCACGTGTAAACACCGTGCTAGAGACGTTAGTTTCCACGTTTCCTGCATTTGTCAAATTTCTGATTTTGCTTCTCAAACCGAATCTTTCTACAAGATAAAGATAAGAAGTACCTTATAATGGCCAAAGTGTTTGTTTGTCTGCCTTCACACACACATGAATTTGAACCACATCCTAATTCAAAGCGTTTAATATAATGTGAGCCTGCACTTTGCAGCTCTAATGGCTGCAGCTGTTCTAGGAAGGCTTTCCACAAAGTCTCAAACTACTGCTTAGTTCATTAGTTGAGATACAGATATGATAAGTCAGATTTCTTTTAAGTTATGTACAATATTTTCACGACAACTGAAGGTAAGATATAGTTGCTTGATTTGGCTATAAAATGGCACTAAGTGTCTGGAAAATACATAATATTTCCTCCGTACCGACCTGATGGGTGGACTGCTGCAGAGACGGTTCTCCTTCTTCTCTCCACAGAAGAAAGCTGGAGCTCTGGACAACAGGGAGACCTTTGGGTAGCAAGTCACTTTCTTGACTTTTCTGATTGGGACCTTGAAAGCAGAAGATTTTTTTTGTTTGTTTGTTTCTGAATACTTTTCAGAGGTCTACAGATAATTCATTTGATTTCAAACTAGTTGTTTGCCCTCTGACCTGCACTGCGGAGCCTTACATAGACAGGAGTGTGGATTTGAAAAACATGTCTAATCCACTGAAATTAGCACAGGTGGACTCCATTGAAGCTGTTGAGGCATCTCAAGGATGTTCATTGCACACAGCTCACTGGAACCTTTGCCATGAAGTTCTGAGCTCCAGACATGTGAATACACAAGTAAATGTGCTTTCATAATCTCATTTGCAAAAATATTTTTTTCCACACTTTCGTCGTGGAAATAGAATTTTGAGGAAAGAGATTCACTTAATACAATGATGCTGTAATACAGCATTATTGTACCCGCGCCTCTCGCCCAAAATGTCTCACATGAAACAGGCGCCACTTGTCCCCACTAGAGGCAAGGCTGTAAAGAAAATGGGTGGATGGAGATACACTCTTCATAATGACATCGAATGACTTCAGCTTTTACCTACTGCTATGAAAATATTTTGGACAAAATATTTCCTGCTCTGCTCAGCAACTTCCAAATCTGAAATATAATGAGAGCAAACTTGAGGAGCAAACCTAAGCAATGAACAAAAAAGATGCTTTGAAGCTCTATGGAGATAGTAATTTTCTTTTTTTTTTTTTTTTTTTTTCAACTAAAGGTTGTGATTTTTATATAGCAACCAGCATTACTTAAACATGGTCAGAAACAGAAATAACACGCAGTGACATTTATTCATGAAAATCTATTAGAGGAAAGAAAACCACTTGATCATGTTTAGTCATCAAAACATCATAATTAGATCAGTTGACAATAAGTCAAAAATGCTTTTTAACGTCAACTAAACGACAAACACAGCTGCGATTTAATCCGCTTGTTTGGTGAAGTTTACACACCATCACAAAAACCAAGGATTGCAGCAGGCAGATCTGGACATGCATTTTAAATACCAGAATCTCTGCAGCGCTGTTCATTCCAAAGATGTAAACGGTACAACAAGGAGAACTTTACTCAGCAGCAGACAAGAGATTGATAACTCTAGCAGAAGACTCTGTCAACCAGACAACTTTCAGGGGGAAAAAATGAAATAGATGCATGATGGAGGGATGTTGCAAGCTGGTTGACTTGTTCCTAGGTGTCCATCATTGTCTCCTTGAGTTAAAATATATCTGTAGCAGCACATTGGCTAAGTAAGACAAATCAAAAGAATTAGGAGGAGAGTAGCTTTATTGGAGTTAGGGCTGATGTAGCAGCAGGATGGGAGCAGTGAATTTTCAGAGTTTTTCCATCTTTATTCACTCGATCTTCCTTTGTCCGTCAAACAAACATGAAACAAGTCCAAACTCCTGCCCTCCCTTACTCAGGCTGCGATAGGTTGGGTGAGGGCTGACGTGGGTGAAATGTGAAACATGAAGGGGGAGGAAGAGGGATAGAGGGATGTGGGAAAGGCAGGACATGACAGAGACCGGGAGAGAGGCAGAGAAAAATAAAGAGTTTCTCTAACCAGATATAGTCCCAGTGGTTCTTGTAATTCCTCCTCTACAACTTCCTGTAACTCTCCACTGTTTTCCGAATTGCAACTATAAATAACTCCCTACCGTATCCCCTCTACTCTGCACATTGAACCACTGAGAGATTAAGGGATGAAGGAAGCATCACTGCACCCTCTCTTTCCTCCTCTCCTTCGTTGCCCTCCCTCCTTCACCCCTCCAGACCTCCACCTCTCCCTCACTTCTTCTTTTCCTCACCGAGCTTCACTTGGAGGACGTGGTGTAGCAGCCGTGCGGGTGCCACTGCATGTCGCGGATGCGTCTGATGGACTGCATCTGAGGGCAGGGAGCGCCGAATTCATTGAAATGCCTGTAGTCGCCCTTCTCCAGCAGGTACTGGCAGCCCCGGTACCCGGGGAACTGGTACCCCACCCAGCTGGGGAGGGAAAGAGGGAAGCAAGGCGTGAACAGCTCCAAAGTTTGCAATGAAAATGATTCATTCACTTTGCTTACAAGTGAAGACAAACAGAAGGGTGAAAGACGAGTGAGAGATAAGTGAGAAATGTACATAAAATCTGTTCAGAGACAGATGCAGAGAAATCATAGTGGGTAAACAATCTCTCAGATGAAAACAAAAAAACAAAAAAAAAAGCACATTGATCTGTTTTGTTATGCCGTCAGGCTTCCAGACACGGCCGGGTCTGCTACCCAGCTGTTTGTTTCCACTGGTTCACAGCACCGAGAACAAAGTAATCACAGCAGAGAAGAAGCTTTGTTTGCAACCACACCTCTGCGAACACATCCAGGGACGCAGAGCTGCTGACGTCCATGACACCCTCAGCAAGCTGCTGATGAAAAAGTCTCTATTCCTGCTCTCTCTCTCTCTCTGTCCGTCTCTCTCTCTCAGCTCAGAAGAATTGGTGATTAGAAAGCTGTTTCTGCCTGTATGAGAATGACGTCACGGATGTGAAAACCGTCTGACACATGCAGCGGCACACAGACGCTGACTTTTTTTTGACGCAGTAGTTTGAGAATCAGAGTGCAATGTTTTTTGGCAGCCCTGCTGAAATATGTATGATCTGCCGACTGGAAGATGCAAATGCGGGAAAAAGTGTGGTGCGGTAGTCTGGCTGCAGCCTCAGTCGGGCATACAAAACGACTGCAAAGCACTGCTTATGTATACTTGTAAGATAAGTTAAATAAGATCTCAAGCCACAAAGGTGAGACTTGTGCAATTTCCACCTTATGCATGTTCCACCTTGTGCTGTGAATATTGAATTCACAATGGAGGATGCAGTGACGTAAAAAGAGGAAGGTGATATCAACGCCGTTGTGTCCTGGTGAAATAGGTGCCAGATTTAGACATTTTTCATGACACCTCAGAGTTAGAAGCAAATTCAGCTTGAAGATGTTATTTGTAGAAGTAACATATATGAAACTTTTCCTCAAGAGGGGGTCCTGTATAATAAAAAGAAGGTTTTGTAATTTGTGGCTCTGCGAAATTTTTACATAGAAAAGGCAGATTTTAACAAATATAGATTTTTTTTTTTTCATCAGTACAAGAAAAAAGTTACTAAGTCAACTGACACTTTCCAAAAAATGCAGAATATTATAACCAATAAATGTATTAATTTTCTTTTTGGAAATGGTTGATGGTCTCTCAAACTGCAGTCTTTTTCATGTGTCCCTTGTCCTACAGGCTTGGATTACATGGTGAAACTGCCTCACTTTCATGCAGTCAAGCTCTGCAGAGCTCTGGCAACGAGTTCAGATTGGACCCAGGTGTGCTGAGGCAGAGTGGCATCTAAAGTTGCAGGACTCTAGCCCTCGAGGAATGCAGTTTGAGACCCGAGCTTTAAGACGTAAAAGAAAAATCAATATTGTGGTTCTTTAGTTTCGTCATAAAACGCATAAAATTCATGTTGCGTCTTTTTCAAATCTCCTGTAAACGTTTTATGCTCTAAAAACACGATGTGACTCCTGACAAAATTTGATTTAGTGTTAAATTTGAAAGTTTTCTATCCAATGTGTACCCTGAAGAAACGGTGGAGCTGATGCCATGTGACCTGAAAGCTGGAGTGGGGATAGAGAGCAGAAGTTGTCTCCTTTTGTTTGTGAAAGCTGCAGCCTCTGGCAGATTTGTTATTTTTAATTTATCACAAAACTTCATCACCAGCATTTGCAACAAGTGCATCTCGTTAGCTACAGAGCGGCTCTTCGCTGCGGCGCTTCTGCTGGTGAAGAAAAGACAGCCCTCCACAAAATTATTACCGTTTTCCCCTCTGACCAACTCAGTGTCTGTTTTTATATGAGCAATATGACCCTCCACCCAGTAATACACCAGCGGTTACATGAGTGTGAGTACAGTAAGGAAATTGGTTGTTCATTTTAGCAGCTAAAGGAACTCTAATTGGTGTCTAATTTGAGCTCTCATACTCACTGCTAAGCTAAAGGGTTATTTTTATGTTTTCCAGTAATACGGGCTGAAATTGATTATCTCTGCCAGTAAATCTGAAATATTGAATCTGTAAGACCTGCATTTGATTAATCTACACTGGACAGAGATTCTTAGTTTGAGATTTACAAGCCATAAATGTAAGCATTTATGAAAGACAAAATGAGACATTTTCACACTTCACAGGCCCGTTTTGGATTACTAACATCGAACCATGAAAAGCACTACATATGGAGAAGATAAATCAGGACCGAGATATTCTACGCTGATTGCAAATTGGGTTTTTCTTCCATCTGAGGATGCAGGCTTAAAAGCAGAGGCTTGCCTAGGGCCACATTCATGCAGGAATCACCACTGGGTCAATATTTATCCATAAAGTGATGGAAAAACTACTGAGGAGATAAACTGAGACAAATTATTATACAGAAAACATCCATAAGTTTGACTATTTCTCTTGATCTGAAACAGTCATCTATGTGCTGCACTGTTTAGTGGAGCTGATGAGCAGCAACTAAGCACCCAGAATGCAACGCTGTATGACATTGGCTATCATTCCCCAATCAGGAATTATACAGATTAGCATTGTTAGCTGTACTAATTACTCGTCTCTGTGAGCATTCCTTGGAAAAGTCAAAAGTCTGTCAACATTTCCAAATCCAGCATGACAGAAAGATGTTGAAGACAGAATAACTTTGGTCTCCAAGCCTTCCTGGGATCAACTTAAATAATTGTGGCAAGTCCGACTATACATCCAAAATGACGCTCTGTGGCAAACGGCACCTTTTTAGTTGCGATAAATGAAAACTAAAAGTAGAAAAGGGCAAATAAAAAGGCAGTAAAGTGACCAGTTCATGTTGAGCTCTTTGATGTAGCATCTGGAGGAAAAGCTGTCATGCTTCTGTGGAAAATACAGTTTCCTTATAAATAGCCTTTTTACAGTTTTTGCTCTTCTTCTGACTTTTTTTGTAAACACTGTACTCCTAAAGGTTATTGCTGTGTCTAAGAGTGTTGTGGTGAATGAGATCTGATGGGGTTTTTTTTAAACATGGCATAAATAGTTTAAATACTCTTTAATAAATTCAGGGGAAAAAAACTTGCTTGTTAAACCCGAGGTAAAAATCTGGCAGGTAGATCTTGTTATGAACCGTTGATGGTTGGAAACACGGGGTCAACTCTAAAAGCAAGCGTTTTCACAAAGGTAAAATAACTTTAAGATGCTCACGTCCCACAGCTGACCAAGATGCTTCCCACTCTGTCGGTGAAGCCGTAGGCAGGCAGGCTGGGAACATCATCATCCATGATCTCCATCTTACGGCCTTTGTACTCTCCGACCTCATATAAACAGATCTTGTGTTTCTCAGGATCCTGCAACGTGTTGGATGAAACAAAAACAAAAAAAGGAAATGAAGAGGAAGAATAGAAGAGAGCAAGCTTTATTCACGAGTGACAGCATAGCAGAGCTCACCATCCGCACAGGCCTGAAGGACAGAAGGTAATCGTTCTTCTGGCAGCTGCTCCACGAATCCCAGCGGGGGTACTCGCCCTTTTCCAGGATGAACATTTCACCACAGAAGTTCATCTGTTCAAAGCCCACAAATCTGAGGAGTGGAATAAAGTGCACTAAGACGAAAGATGTACATTGAATCTCTGATTATGGAAGCCTTTCAGTTATTAAGCTCAGAGAGCAGCATTGATTACCCTTTGCGAGAGCGCTGCTTAGCCTTTGATCTCGCTCTTCTGCTTGTCGACTCCTTCTCAAAACTGATTGTTGACATATTCTGGCCTGAGATGCTTCTTTGGGGATTTAGTGGTAAAATGAATTGTATAATGATGCTCTTTATTCTGTTATTGTCTGTTATCGTGTCTTTCATTCTGCTCACACTGCAACTGCAGTTTCTTGGTTAGAGTATAAGCAGAGGAAAGTTGCTTCTGGTCAAAGTCAGATGCTATCTGGAAAACTGAAGCTCGCTCTGCTGCTGCACACTCTGTGCAAATCGCTGTGGATAAAAGCCTCCCCTGACTGCCTGAAAGAGCAAAAGTGTCCCATAATGGAGAGGCGCATCAGTGAAATCACCTGCTGTTTGCCCGGAGAAGTGGGGTTTCTGCGTGCAGTGCTTAAACTCGTGGGCGTGCGGAAGTCGGCGGTACTCACGGCCCACAGCAGACGCGCAGGGAGCGCACCCTGTCCATTCCCATGTCACACACGTTCACGCACTCGGCGGTGATGTCAATGCAGCGGCCCTGGAAGTTCTCCTGGTCGTACACGCACATCTGATGAACACAGAGCGAGGGGGGGGGGGAGGAACTGGTTAAACTGAGGTGGCAAAAACCTTCCAAATAATGGGTGTAGGGTAGAGATCGTTATGAAGAGCCCATGTTGTCTTCATACAACATGGGCTCTTGTTGGGCTCCTGGAGTATTTTTCAGCCATTTGTAACATTCGACCACCTGCTCAGGGAGCGTTAAAAACCAGGAGGAGGGAGCAGCAGGTGAGAGGTCAGGGGGTAAACCGTTAGGTCAGCCGCTTCACACCGTCTAACAAAGAGTAGCAAGAAATGTTTGGAAATCTGCCGTAGATGCAAGGGTGTGCTCTCCGTACCTTGTAGGACATCATGCCGGTCTCAGACGTCTTGCTCTGAGCTGCTTTCCCATCAGGCTGGGACTTGGGTTTCTCTCCTCCAGCAGACATGACTTGAAACCAGGAGAAGAAAAGATTTGTGACAAAGGTATAGTTTTAACATTTTAAAAGTTACCAATCACTGACAAAGCACTCTGAAAAATAATTTTGAAGTCTCACATCCCAGAGATATGTAGAAGCAATTAAAGTAAACTATTTAATTTGGTTGATTTTTCTACAATGTTCTAATATAATCCTTTAAAAACATAATAAACATTTAGTCTGAAATGGACAAAAGTCCAAACTACTTTTTTTTTTTCTTTTTTCAAAATAAAAGCAATTATTTACATATTTGGTAGTAGGGACCAAATTTTTTTGCCTTTTTCCCCTTAAAATGTAAATATATGTCCTGATTTAGTGAAATTTGAAACAGCACAGATTTTGTAACAAACAATAAGTTAAACTTTAAACATGCTTTCTGCAAAGAGGGAGATTACAATTTAAGAGGCTTTCACAACGTTAACATAATTTACAATGCACTAAATATCTCTGCCACTTGCTTTTTCTTGATAAATCAGATTTTGTCATTAACATTGCTTAAGAATATAACCATTAAGGGATTAGATTTAATGACAACAAGCTTCTTCCTGCTCCTGTTCAGATATGTAAATTGAATCAAAATGTACTTTTTTCATTTTGCTTATTTTTTTAATATAACTTTCTCCCTTTTTCCCTCAGTGTTTGTTTTTTTTTTTTTTTTTTTTTTGTAATTCCCACAGGTTGTTGCTGTTACTCTGTCTGATACATTTTAAAATCCCTTTTTTCTCTCTGTTTTTGACTGGAGTCATAAAAGCTGGGTCACCTGAGACGAGACCACAGAGTCCCACGTTAGCAAACATTTAACTTGCACAGCAGAACAAAAGCAACGCAAAGTAAAGTCTGAGCCGTTTTTCAACAGATGGTACAAAAAGATCCATCAGTCTGTTCAAACTTTGCCACACTTGTTCATCACTTGTTGGAGCTCAGAACAATCGATGTCTTTTATCCGCAGTCAAACAATGAAGAAGCACAAAAGACAAAGTGAGCTGCAAGAAAATCACTCAAATTAATTCAGTTTAACAGTATGGATCTGTTCACTGGCTACTGAAAATGCTTTCTCACCATGTGCCAGCACAACATTTGATTTTAAAATCTGCCATATTCTTTATGTTTTTCATTAATAATGCTGGATTTTCCCATTCTAAGGTCACATTAATTCATTTATTTTATAATTCTGACTCCCACAACCATATCTGGACTCTACCTCAAATCCTTTCTTCTCTTCTCTTTTCTGCGGGGTGTTGATCACTGTCTTACCTGTGGCAGTGTGTGAGTAAATGAGCGGATTGGTGGTCAGTGTGGGAGTACAGAGGGGCCCACGTTAGCTTTTATACGCTGGCGCCTGGAGTGAGGGGATTATGCTGATAGAAAAAAACTCGCTGAGCTCACAGCCCCCACAGAATAGAAATACCCCATCATCAAACACAGAGAGAGACACGGGATACCAGCTGATATAAAAGAAAACTACAAGGAAGACACATGACCTCAAAGCTTTTTGTTAGATCAAGAGGACTTAATCAAAGATAATTGAGGACGTCGCTGTTGAATTTACAAATAACCTGGCTGAAAACACCAGCAGTGGGCCCAAATCACTTAAGAAAAGCTATTACTAATTTTGAAAATAAATAAACGTCACCTAATGTCAAGTTATTTAAAGTAGAGACACTTTGTTTGCTGTGGAAACTACAACCAATTAGCAATCATTTGGTATTGTATTTGTTTTTATAAAGTAGAGATGCTGCTCAGAGTGTGTTTAGTAATTAATAAGGGCATAAATAGGAAAAATATGACACAACTAGAAACAAATATATCTACTTAAAGTTAGTCTTCCTGTAGCTGCAGCAGCATTAGTTGCTATAGAAAGTTAGAAAAAGTCCATTGCAAAACTATGTTTTCAAAAGTGAGGCAAAAGACTCAAGGTTTTTAATTATGACAGTACAGGAGGTTCCATGTGTAACTTTTTATATCGTATAAAGTGTCTTCTAAACAAAATAGTTTCTATTTTTAGGGAATTTTATGTCATCGATCAACTTGAAGCAATGTATACTGTAATTCTGTGAAAAATGAAACATTCTTCATTTTTCTTTTACAAGTGGTAATCTGAAAAGTGTGGCGTGCATTTACTTTTAGAACTCTTTCACCTTATTCTGTATTCATATTTTGCTGCAAGTACCACTGGTCATTAGACCAGTGGTACCTGCATTAGACCAGTGGTACTTGCCACTGGTTCTGGCATTAGACCTAATGCCAGAACCAGCTTTGGACGTCTAGATACAGACATGTTTAATCAATTATTTGCAGCTCAACCTCAGTTTTATAAAATAAGACTTGCATGTCATGAACATGGATTTTGGTTTGAACTTTGAATGCATTATTCTAATTGATTAATCCAAACCACTCCACTGTATTTATTGCGTTGGTTGAGGTTGTTGTCCTGCTGGAAGGTGAACCTCCACCCTCGTCTCTAGTCTTTTTCAGCCTCAACAGGTCTTCTTACAGTGTTGTCCTCCTTTTCCCCTCCACTTAGCTAAAATCATCTTCCTAAAAACTATGACCAGCTTCTGTATCTCTGCTTCACAAAAACTTCCCAGTTGTTTTGCCAATAACTAGTCAGCAACCACAACTACTGGCTAATGGTATATTTTCATAAACCATACCCAAAAATCTGTTCAAAATTGTAGTTTGACAAAGACGGAGCGATCTTTGTCTGTGTTTGCTGTCATACCTAAATGGTTTCTGTCCAGTATTTTCAATGTAACAGCAGGGCAGGTTTTCTGGTTTTATACAGTGAGGCTTCTCACAAAAATATTCTGTCCTGCTTCTGTCGGCGCTGTAATAAAAACGAGTTGGGTAAAACAATAACGAGAGAAGCAATAAGCTGGGAGAAGCAATAACCTTATTATACCTTTGGGTGAGCAAAGGGGTTCTGCGAATGCAAGGACAAACACCCATCTAAATCTCTCTCATGAACACTGAAGGAGGAGGTCATTAAATTAAAAGCCTTGAGTGTTTCCTTCCAGTGTGGGTGAGGGTAATATTACATAGGGCGTGGGCTGCAGAGCATGGAGGAAACACACTGGCCATATGTGAAGCATGAGCTGGCAGTCGAGTTCATGTGATGTGCGGCATCACATGAACTCAGAAAGGAGGCTGAGGCCACAGCTGTGCTCCAGCTGAGACACCGGTGGCTGACGTAAAGCAAAGAGTTGTTCAATGGCCAGCCTACTTCCTGTCCTTTGAATATGGTCAAGAAAGAGGCAGCGAGAATCAAGAGGCAGAAGAGGGCGCATTATGAATCAAACGTTGCACATCCTTTGTCGCTGCAGAGAGCCTGATAATCAAATAAAAAGAGCGGCGAGAGAGGCATTCAAGTTACTTTACAGAACAGCTTTTAACTGTAGAGTAGTCGCTTGTTTTCAGGACCATCAAGAAATGTCAGTCATACTTGAAAGCCAGTTTATTTAGAAATAACAAAGTACAATGGGTTTAGGTAAAGGAAAGACAAAAAGTATTCTGTTATGTCAGGTTTTTCCAAATTTGTTGGAATTACGTTTATATTTCTAAATACATAAAATATGAAACTCTCATTACCATATTATGATTTTTAATTGTTGTTTTAGTTTTCATCTGTATAGGACGGATATTGAGTAGACAGTTTGATCAGAGGATGATGATCTGCTGCCATTTTGTGTTTTATTTACAGATCTGGTTTAAAGTTCCACATTAACATTATGGACATGAATAATGATACTAATCCTATAACTGCAAAAAGAGTCTGTTTAACTTTTTTTTTGTACTCATAGAGCAGCTGAATTTAATTTAAAACACACAGGCATGATATCACCCAACCAATTTGAATTATTTGTTGCATCAAATTAATGGGGATTGGTGCTGCCACAGTTTCACATTTAATTTGGAGACGATGCATAATTTTGCTTTCACTTAAATTTGTGATACCTTGCATTAGTCTGTGACAAAACTTCAATGAAATACATATGCATGCAAGAAACTGCCTCTGTCTTTTGCAAATTGCTTCCTATAGCATTGAACTGAAGGTAAAAGTCACTAACTCTCTTCACATCAGCTCATGAGCAGAGAGAGAGCTTCATGAAATGGGTTTCAGTGACTGATGCAGTGGTGCAGAGCGCGCGGCCACTGCACTGAAAAGCAGTGGAGGGATGTTTTCTGCAAGAATAAATTATGCCTCTTTGCAATTCTAATGGATGAATCTGAATTTGGCAGTTGTTAGGAGAACAGTCTTTGCCGGACTGCATTGTCAGGTGTGAAGTTTGATGCAAAGACAGTTATGTGGAGGGGCGCTGAGGGATTGTAGCTAATTGTTTTCAGAGAATGGAACTCAACATTGTAGTTTTTCAAAATATTTTTCAGTTTTACTCTTGACGTGTTGGTAAGAGTTTGGGTACGATGGTGTCAGTTCCAACACGACTGCACCAATTGACAGAGCGGTCCATAATCCAGAGATGAGCTTGGTTTGGTGTAGAAGAACATGACTGACCTGCGCAAAGTCAACTCAACCAAACAAAACATCCTTGGGATATATTAGAGCAGAGACTCTCGTCTAACATCAGTGACTGACCTCGCAAATGTTTTTCATGAAAGACTGTAGAAATATTTCCAAAACACAGCCCTACATTTGGGGAGAGCCTAGTCGATGTTAAGCTTAACTCTGGCAAGCTTTGCAGCTTTAAGGTTCTCCAAAACGTGTTGGAATACATTTTCAACAAGTTTTGGCCAAAATCATGTGAATTTAGAATCAGAAGCCATTCAAGTTCAAAGGTCTTTTTAAATGCGCTACATGAATAAAATGATGAGAAATGATTCATAGAACCGATTATTAGACAATTTTTTGCTTCATTTTCTTACATTTTACATTTGGCAATAAAGCATTGATGTGACTTAAAGCTCAAAATAGAAACATTATCTGAAAAAATGCTCACTCAAAATCATAAGTGTTAAGGTTTTCTTGTTATCATTTCCACTCAGGATTGTCTCCATTTTTTGTATTCACTATTTCCAACCCACATTATTTTCCTACTTGAAAGGCTGTGTGATATCCTGTCTTACTCAAGGTCAAGGTATCTTTATTACTCTCACATAGGAGACATTTGTGATCAAAAATGGCAGTGCTGCTGGAGAACACATCACTATAACAAAGCAAGCAATAACTAGAAAAGATAGTAGTAAAAATCTTAGAACACATACCATCGTTTATGTCTGTTTCTGTTCATCCCCTGCCAAGTCGTGGTTTGTTTTACTCATCTCTCTGAATTAAAGCTGAGTCTGCTCTGACTTCATCTCTACAACTCATTCATCAAACCCATTTGTCCTTCACTTCATCAAACTATTTGTAGCACCGCAGGGTTCAGTACAACCATGCAAATGTGTCACGAGACACATTTATTTCTGCAGCTCAAAATTAGAAACAGTTCAGCGTGTGCAGCATACAACCCAGGTGATGCTACATGGTTATATTGTTAGATAAAACTTTCGTATGCTAAGGGAGAGCCAGCAGGTCTAAAGGTTAACCGACAGCCTCACCCAGTGGTAACAATACTTGTCATTTCTTAAGGCAGCATAAAAGCATACACAACTACATGCCTCTTTTGAAAGCACAGGGTTTCCATTCAAAACTGACCTTTCCGTTGGTTTTTCAAAGCAGATATTTGATCATTTCTAAAATGTGTTTTTAGCAAAAAAACAAAAAGACACCACTGTATATGGAGGACGAGACATAAGGAGAAACTGCGTATCATTGTAAATAGAAAACTGATTCTCTTACATGACAAAGAAAAACATTTTAACAGGAATATGTCAAGTAGCTGAATCTACTTCAATCTATTTGTAGCTAATGTTTAGAGTAAGCATTCTTGCTTTCACCAGAAATCATGTAAAGAGGATTTGAAACAATTAGAAATTTAACTTCAAATGAAAAGACGCATCTGAGACTGAGGAACAGGGACACAAACAAAGGTTATGTCTCAGAGGCAACACATAGCTTGAGAGAGGTCAGTTGCTATCCCATCATTTTTAAGAGGGTTGTTTGTGAGCATAAAGTTTGTCAGCTAAAAAATGTTTTATTTTCTTGTATTTTGTTTTGTGTTCTTCTTACTTTTTGCCTCCTCTCTCAGAATGAAATTTCTTTTGTCCCCTCTGTTTCTGAGCAAGATAAAATGGAGAATATTTCACTGCAGCTGCTCTCTGATTGTATGCCACAATTTTAACTTCATTTCCACACGTGTAGCATCAATCTGCAGAATCTTTAGAGCAAAGTGAAATCTTGTGAGAAAAACTAATTGTAGATGGATTTTGATCAAGATGTTCTTACAGCTACAATATTCTAGTGAAGAATTGTAGCGTTTTCCATTCCCTGCCACCATATACTACCCTTGCTTGACTTAATAATAATAATAATAATAATAATAATAATAATAATAATAATAATAATAAGTTTTTGTATGTTTTTACAGGCAACAATTTTAAATGAGAGAAACAGAAAAGCAGAACAGTGTAGATAGGTCAAACCTCCATTTAATTATTTTTACTCTAATTAAAGATTCCTTCAAATATTTGGATTCATAAGTCATAGTTGTGAAAATAAAAACACTGAGACTCTTTTTTTTTCCCCATTAAAAATAAAGCTTTAAATCATCTCCCGCCTTATTTCAGAGATCCCAATATTGTGCATTTTCTTGGGGGGCACAATGGGGTCACAGCACCAAGAACAGGCCAGGCATGAACAAGATTGCACAGGAACATAACAACAGCCAATTAATAGCAGTTTCTACAGACAGTATTATGCAAATAGTAAGTTCAGCTACTGCTAAAGTTGGAGAAATGTATTTTGAAGAAGGTGGAGCATTCACAGTAAACATGCCTAAAGAAAAGGTTTATGTCACATCTAGGTGTGATCTAATGCAAAGACTTAACAGTGTTGTCTTTAAAATATTCTAATCCTTGATAAATTATAATAATGATTAGAACCACAACACTGGCTGCATCTTCATTAAAGACATTTGAGTTTGGGAAGCCATCACCCCTGATGGTATTTCAAAATCCTGTTTATTCTCTGCCTATAGTCCTCCTCCATTGTTGCTCTATACGATGGCACTGCTGACCTATACGATTAGACCAAAACAGCCCCGGCATTCATAAGCCGAACCTCTGTGGGTCCTGTCTATATGATCTGCTGAGTCGACAGGGAGCTCAGGGTTAACAAAGACAGAGTTGGATCCTAACCGCTGGTGTGCACGCTCAACCCTCAACCTTCACTTTACGCACAGATTTGAGCTCAGAAGCGCCTCTTTCCGCAACCTGCGTCAAGTTGATCAATGTTAGTTAGAGGAACCCCGGAACTTTCCCGTCACTTAAATAGTTGCCTCTCAAAAAGTGTTTTTTCAAAGTTCATTTTCTCTTCTGTCTTCAATGAAAGAATAAATAAAAAAAAAATACAAAGGAATGTGAAAACCTGAAACAACAGAGTTTGCCATATTCAACAAAAGTCTTCCTGAAATAGCAAGTCAAGAAATATTAATTAGTAAAATAATAATAATAATAATAATAATAATAATAATAATAATAATAATAATAATAATAATAATAATAATAATAATAATAATAATAATAATAATAATAAACTTTTCATTAACATAATGATCATTTATGGAATAATACGTAATAATAGTATGTTTTTAATATTCTTAGCAATATCTAGTCAAATATCTTGTCAAATACTAACTTTTGTATTCGACAGAAATGCTTTTAAAAAAACACATAAAGTTTTATTTTTTACAAGTATGCTGGTACTGCATTACAGTGTCAGGTTGGTATGTAGAGCACGATGAACTTTTATTGTGAAGGTTTCGGCCAGCCGGAAGAGGTTGGTCTTATTTTCATCACACTTGACAGGCTCACCAAGCCAAGTCGCGAGAGCTCATGCGCGGCACGAGCACGGCGCGTGGCCGCTCATATAAAACAGAAGGTCCAGTTTGAGACAAAAGTCTAAAGAGGATTTGTTGCGTGAGAAGTCAGAGGAAAACAGTCTGGTAAGATTTAAATTACTGATTATTTCAAGAGGGAAAACAGTCAAACTGGAACTGTTGTTGTTGGGACACAAATGGTTTATTTGATCATTTATGTGTGTGTTTTGTGGGAAAATAAGCTTAAAACGTAACATTTTTGTATTTATTGTATTTACTTGTTTTTATTCAGTTATCGTTTAATAACTACAAAACTTCCCTTGGGTTTTTCCTGACCTTTTCTTATTTTCTAGCCATGAATAGATTGTCCAAAACCTACAGGAGCTCACCCATGTCCTTCAGGGCCATGGGCACAGCTCCCTTCTTTAAAAGTAAGATCACACTTTTCTCACTTAGACTGAAAATACTTGTGGTAAACAGGCTCAGTTTCCTTCCATTCCCCATGTGCTGCTCCCCCCCCCCAACAGGTGACTGTGTTTGAACAGGAGCACTTCCAGGGCAAGTGTCTGGAGTTCATGACCGCGGCCTGGACAACATCCGCTCCATCCGAGTGGAGAGTGGAGCGTGAGTCACACAGCCTGTAGGTCTCAGTGAGCAGCTGATTGTTGTGTGTCTGGTTGTATCTGTATATATGTGGTGTGTATTCTGCATTCACCAAAAAGTAGAGGAGAAAAGTGAGTGATGTGAAATATGTTCAGCATCACCAGAGGAAAAAGCTTGTTTGCATAGTGACTCCCCATTAATTTGCAGTTAGTCAATTTACAGCCTCAAACTTAAATGTACTTTATTAGTATTTTATGTGATATATTTCTGAGAGAAAACCAACAATACCTTGCTGACAGAAGCTAGAAAGGGAGCGTCATTATCCAAAGCAAAGCGAGTCCTGTTCTGTCACAAGCCGAAAAGCTAATCAAACAGGAATTACTTCAAAAATAAATATAAAAACCCAGATGCTTGTTTGCAAATGCACTCAAAGACAGTTAATAAAACTAAAACTGAAGAGCTTGGCAGGAAGATGGAGCTTGCACGTGAGATAACTGTATCGTAACTTTGAAGTACAGAATGGCAGCAGCATGTTGTGTTGATGTTTTGCTGCAGGAGGGACTAAATAGATGGCATCATAAAGATAGAGCATTATGTTGTAATGCTGAAGTATTTACATGCTGGGTAATTCACAAAAAAGATCTAAATATACAAACAATTACATTATTGTTCTATCTTCTATTGTTACATAAATCCCTTCTAATAATCACAAAAAAGAAATCAGTTAATATTTTAAATGTATGCTATTAGATATTTTGTAGATATTTAATGAAACATTTTTTAAAATCCTTTCTGTGTTAAATCAACTGACACATTAGCTTTTACATGTTTAGCCAGTGTTTTAACTCCTGAAACAAAGAGGAAAAAATGCATTTTGTGACATGTCAACACCTACTTCTCACCTTGTGTTATACTTTGAAATAATCACCTTTGCAATTTTCTTTCACAGGAAATACGAGGCAGATTTTACACTGCTGTCAGCACACTGTTGTTTTTGTTCATGAGAAATCTTAAAAAATCATTTAAGAGTGAAAAAAAATGTGGGGGAAAAAGCCCCCATAGTTTCTTAAATGTTTCTGTCAGGTGTGCGCTGCCCGGTTCATGTTCACAGTTTTCATATTACATATTTAACCTTTTCTTCATGCTTCACGCATGTGCAGAGCGGAAAGTAGGTGAGTCTACTGGCTTTTTTTTTTTTTTTTTTTATCATAAATGAAGTTTTAGAAAATCTTAAAAAACAGGGTAATTTAAAAAAAAAAAAAAAAGGCAACAATCCAAGCTGGTCGTTATCACTGAGTCACTTTTCAACATAATGGAGCTCAAACGCTCTTTTATCTACAAAGCGACACTCATTAAATTTGGTGAGTTTAAAACAAAAGTGTCTTTATGAGTATTTCGAGATAATTACTCTAAGAGAAACATAGACAGTGGATACAGAAAAGAGGAAGTTAATGCACAAAACAATTAAAATGATATCTCTCAGGTGTCTTGAGAAAGCAATCAAAGCCCATTGCATTCACATAATAAACTAAAACTGAGGAAAAGAAATTAAAATTTGGTGCAGCTGCAAGTTGTAAGAAGAAGACCAACATTCACATGTTTATTGCAGCGTTACATAAGTTAATTGAATTATGAGCATTCACTTCCTTAGCCATGTTAAGAACCACGACTATTTGATTGTTTGATAGCAAAATTATTAAAGTAGACCATTACATGGCAGCACAACTAGGCATTCTGAAAACCTATCATCAGAATAAGGAAGAATAAAATATAATTGACTTTGAAGGTGTCATGACTGTTGGTGCCAGACGTGCAGGTCTGAGTGTTTCAGAAAATGCTGATCTGATGGGATTTTCATGTACAAGCATCCCTCGGGTTTGCAGATGACTGTCTGATTGCTGTGTGAATGGAAATGTCTTGTTGGTGTCGGGGAAAATAGGTCAAGAGGATATGAAGGCAACAGTAGCTCAAACATCAACATCTAAACCCTGTGAAAATCACACCAAGTAACTCTCCTGTCAGCTAAAAACAGGAAACCGAGGCTACAGTTCTCCAAATTCAGAAAATTACAGATTAGATAAATGTTACCTGGTCCAATAATTTTTTTTTTATTTCAGGTGCGACATTAAGATTCCAGAGCCAGAATTTGGTGTAAATAGTACTGCGACTAGCGACCTGTCCGGGGTGTTCCCCACCTCTCGCCCTTTGACCTCTGGAGATAGGCACCAGCATCCCTGGTAACCTCTCCAGGGATAAGCCTGTAAGATGATGGATGGATGGATGGATGGATGGATGGATGGATGGATGGATGGATGGATGGATGGATGGATGGATGGATGGATGGATGGTGCTGCTTTGTGTCAATGGCTCAGCTTTGAGAAATCCCGATTATTTGATCATGTTCATCCTACAGTTTACCCATCATCTGACGACTGCTTCCAATGCAATAACGCACTGTGTTGAAAAACAAATTCATTTGTCCTAGTTTTAACTTTATTTTTGTCGGTATCTGCCCCTTTGCTTTGACTTCTCAACAAACAGAACACATTTTCAGTTCTGAGAGAGATCCTGCTGTTGAAGCTCGTACAGGAGTGGAGCTGCTCATCCAAAACAAAAACCACTCAGGGGAGAAGATACTTAAAATATGTTTTCATACATACAGTGGAGTCAACATATTTAGTCATTCAGGGAATACGGGTTTTTTGGATTTCGATTTCACCGGTGATGGTATCTTTCACATAGACCCAGAACCTCCAAACAGCCTGAGCAAGTGGCTTAAGAGGAAGGATAGATGTTATACATTTCTAATATAATCTAAAAAGATTTCAGTCAGGATAATAATTTATTTTCCACAAGCCAGTCTTTGAATTTGCTGATTTATGATGGAGAGCTTTGAACACAAATGTTCCTGCTAAATGTTTTACATGTGAGAATGACAACATCTCTAACTTTTGCAATGGTATAACAGAGATGATAAAAATAACTTTAAAAGCTAAACAATTTTTTTTACAAATATAATAAAGTGAAATAAATAAAAAAAATCACATTTTCGCGCTGAAACTGCTTCAAAATTCTAAGCTTGATCAGACTGAGCCTGTTGCTGTCTGTTTAATCATCCCCCTTTGTGGCTGTGCCTCTCCTTAGCTTTGTGTGCTGTGAGTAGCCGGGCTCCAGGGTACATCATGGAGTGTGAGAGGCACAGTGGAGATAATCAGCACTGGAGGAACTGGGGCTCCCACTGCCAGACACCAAACATCCAGTCCATCAAACGCATCAGGCACCGAGGAGCCTCGTATCGAGACCAGCAGCAGGTTGGACTTGAGCAAAAGAACCCCTGAGCTCGACCTCAGTTTGGTTCAGAGGGCTTTGGACCATAACTACAACACAAACCATGTGGGATCTAGCATCTACCTCCCAACCCCACCCATAGTTTCTTTGTTTTAAGGAATATTTTGATTTTGTACAAGTTAAATAAAGTTTAGGCTGAGCAGATAAATAGTGCGGACATGCAGGAATGTGTTTTGACATTTTGCACTGAACTTCACATAATATTTTTGCACACTGTTACCTCAGTATTGAGCCAGAATGATATCAGAGTCTGAACATTAAAACTTAAACCACGGCTTCAAATATGAGGAGGCATCAGAAGAAAATGGAAGAACATGTTGCCAAGCATGTACAGGTTTAGGGGCCACTGTGGATGAATTCAGCAAGTTTTATTCTGTTACACATAAAGAAACTTTTGAGAAAATACCTAATCATTCAAAAAGATATTATAAACACCTGATGCATATAGAAGAAAAAGAAAACATATAGATAAATAAGCTTCTTTCTCAGTTGTTTTGTTATTCTAAGTACTGGCAACTGACAACACAAAGAGTGGGACCAATATTCTTAAAAGAAAGAAAAATTAGCTTCTCATTTCTAATGACTAATTTATGTACTATATTTCTGCAGATCATCACAGCAGACAGGCTTATTAAAACATAAAAAGCCCCATGAGCATCCTTCGGTAAACTGTTTTTATTCAGCTGTGGATTCATGCAATAAACATCTGCTTAATGAGCATTTCTCGCATTGCAAACGGTCACGAATCCTGTCTCGAAGCGAAACTAATTAACTTTAATAGCTGCACACAAAACGGAGACAGGTGTCTCAAGAGTAACTTAAACAATTTTTGATTCGCAAAAATTAGTGAGTATTATAATAATAACTATGGAGCAAAAATAGATCATTTGTATTTAGCATAATCTTCCACCTTCCCTGATTTGTATCAGCTTGTGCTCATTGTGCTTTTTTTACACATGTAATTATCTTTAGATTGTTTTTGTTTTATTTATTGTTTCAGTAACAGCGGTATCACTTGTTGCTCCTCTCTGTCTCTAGTCTCTCTTAAAGAGAGTTAATTTCAAACGGCCTAAAGAATAAGACAAACTTATTCTTTAAGAGTTTATTTTAGGAGAGATCAACCATCAACCATCTGATCCGCTCTTCTTGATTAAACAAGTGAACTCTCTGTCCTTGTTATGTGAATGCTGGTATTTGAACATACTCTGAAAGTTGATTTGAGGAATAATTTTTATCTCGTTCTTTACTTGCTGTTCTTCAGAGTTTCCATGGAGATACGTGTTTTTTTTTTTTTTTTTTTTTTTTTTTTACCCACTTAATTTTAAAAGAGGGTGAATAGAAAACACAATGCACATCTTGTAAGCAAAACGTAATCGCTTTCATCTATTTTAAGCTCCTGCTTCAGTGTCTGGAGAAAAGAAATATCAGTAAAGACAACAGCAACTATATATTATTGCAAACTCTCAAATATATGGGGAACAGTGCAATAAGGATGTTTCTCAGTTCACTAAAATACGTGTTGTGCAACAATCAATCAATCAATTGTGCATAATAGTTAATACGCCACAGAATATAGATAACATGTTCAGGTATAAATTCAATCTCAAATTGACCAAGAAATGTGATCTCCTAGTGTAAAACCAGCCAACCAATTTTTTTTTTTTATTTTTTAAATCCAGCCAATAATGTTTCCTTACAGAAACAGAACCTCGCTTGGAGTGGGACAGATTCATCATTGGAAGCACCTGCGCTTCACTGCAATGACATTGAAAAATCTCCTGCAGAACAAAACATCTCTATAAGACCTAACAGCAGGTCTAAAAAAAACAAAAAGCAAAAAGCCAACTTGTCGTCATTAACAGGATATTTCTGCACTCCAGATATTTTCCCGTCGCAGCAGGAAAGATTCAGGCATAATGAAGGACATTAACAATAAATCTGCTCTACTTTATCGCTCAGAATGTGATGACGGCATTACAAAGAATAAGCACAATATCTGGACCAAAGCTGCAAATTAATGTTATTATCTCCCCTCGGTGATTTTCTTCCTGTGACAGGTCAAGCCTTCATCTGGGAGAAGGGAGGCCATTAGGTATAATCATACAGCACACACAAAGCTGTTTCTGCGTCACGGGAAAGACTGAAACTGCACTTTTTGAATGAAAACTTTTAACACTTTTCAATAGTTGGATAGATAAATTCAAGTGCAGCTTTTCAGACTAAATCCAGTCAGTGATACAAGTTAGATGCCCCTTGCAGCATTTAAAAATCCTGCAGAGTTTAGTGTCTGTTTAACTGTGGACAGATCACCAGTCCATCACAACATGCACGCACACACACACACACACACACACACACACACCTACACACACACACTCACCCATTCAGACCTATGTGTAATTGTGAGAGGTGAGAACCCACATATGTACCGGGAGAAGAGACAAACTCCACAAAAAGAGACCCCACAAAATCAAGTATTTGTTTTCTACTTTCTAGAGCAAATATCTTAGTACAATTAACTTTTCAGGGTAATATAGATGCTTGTTTTAAGTCAATAACTCCTTAATACTGATGGAAAAGTACTAGTGATAAATGAAATAATCTGCCCGTGGAACAAGACATTTTCCCTACAAGTTAAATGTTTTTTTTATTGTGTTTTTGCCATGCCACAACCTCATTGCTGTTCTAATCAGGAGTTTGAGTTCTCTTTGAACAGTGTGTGTGCCTGTGTGTGTGTTTGGAAATACAATGTTTTCTATAGTTCAACACAGAAATCTGTAGCGGAACTTGTTTGCAATAAATCACCTCAGCTGTTTATTTGCTTGGTGTAGACGAATCATTGCACTTTTTTAGAAAATGAGTGTAGCTTCATTTACGCATTTTTGCAGATTTTATGAATTTTCCAATGGCAATAAAAGCTGCTAACTAAACAGCCATCCTTCTTGGTTCACCTTAGGAACTGCTGAATACTGAACTGTATTAAATCTAAGGGCACATTCATATTTTTCTCTGCTATCCTTCACATTCAACAGAATAAAGCAGGCTCTCTTAAAATTGCTGCTGTTAATACAAAGTTTTCATGCTGCTATTCAAATGATAAAATCAATTGCTAATTTTTTTTATTATTATTATTCAAATCTGTCTCTTTCAGATCTTTCTTTTACAGCCAAGTACTCCGCAGATTCAACAAAAGATCCTGCTCATCGACAGCTCTGGTAAACATGGAGCGCAAATTGAGCGGATAGAAAACTGAAAGCATTGTGCTCTAAATTGTTGCCCCCCTGTAGACAGAACATGTTAACAAGAAACATACAGTCTCATCCAAAAACATCAAAATTACATAAAAAAAACATACATTTAAGATAAAAAAAGATTTTAAAACTTTCCTTCCAACAAAATTTTATAAAACACTGATATCTGAAAAATATGTGTTTTTTATCTCTAAGGCTTTATCACCCTTAAAGACTGTCATGGCCTCCTCAAGGCAGCTGCTTAGGTTAAAAATAAGAAAAAAAACATGCATAAAACTGTGTATGAATTTTAAGCATCTGCTAAGATACATGTGGTTAAGAAACTGAAGAGATATGCAACTGTAGACTCAGAGTGTGATCAAGCATTGGAAAGTACAGCCCTCAATATACTGCAAAATATTTCTACACATGTAAAAATATAACATTTTAAGACATGAGGGGGAAAACATCTGTTTGCCCATAAACTTATGAACATTTTTATGTTTAAAAATCGACCAAACAAGAGCTGTAGTTCCTTGTTAAGGTGCTTATTAGCAGGGAAATTGTCCAGACTTCATCAACCAGAACCTTTAATGTATTTCCTTAGGATTTGATGTGATAGACCAACACAAAGTATCACATAATTGTGAAACAAACAATCACCATGGTGAAGCATGATGGTGGAAGCATCATGCTGTGGGGATGCTTTTTTTTCCCAGAAGGGGCAGTTAAACTAATCAGAGGTTGTGGGATGACGGATGGAGATGAATGTGGGGCAACAATGTGAAGTAAAAGTGTTGGTCTGTCACATAACACACCAGAGAAATACATAAAAATGTGTAAAATGTCGAGGCGTATGCCACCTTCCCACTCCAATGATCTGAAAAAGGCAAAGCTGGCCGCACTAACCAGCTCTTAGGACGATCCACAGACGATTCTACCCAGATGTGACCATAATGCAGAACGTTTCGCTGCTCAAGGCCTTCTTCCCTTTGAGCTTTAAACATATAGCCAGTTAACATTATGGTAGCGTAGCGCTTCCACGTGTTCCTCGTTCTTTCATTTTGTCATATCTCCCTCCCGTCGTCCTCCGCGTGGGCCCCCCGACCTTCGGCCCCTCTTCTCCGGGCTCCGGGCGAGTCAGCGCCCTCGGCTCTGGCGTCCCGGCCTCCTTCCTCCCTGTCCCCTGCTACCATCTCCTCCACAACGCGCTCATCCTCCTCCGTCCGCTCTTCCTCGTCTTCGTCGTCATCCTCCTCGCTTCCCTCTGAATCTGACTCATCAGAGTTGTCCTCTTCCAGGTAGCGGTAGCCTTTCACCTGAGGGTAAAAACAGACGCTTTTATTTTTACTCTCCACTTGGATGTCTTTACAACCTTGCCATGATTTTAAGACCTCAGTCACTCCTGCACAAGCAGATGAACAAGTTTTCATGTCTGCCTTAGAAGGCATCAGGAGCATGAAACAAACAGAAAGGATGAGACTTTTCCAGTCTCATGAATGATTTATTCACACGGTTTAAAATCACCACCAAGCTTCTCACAACAGTTTGCTGGAGTTCTGGTCCTTTGTTCACACACATCTTTTCAACCCTGTCCTCAAATTTTGAGTTCATGAGTTCGGTACTTTGTGATGACGACTCCAAAAATATTGACCCTGTTGTCTTTAAGCACATTCGTAACCGATGTGGCTGCACGTTTAGTCTATTTGAAAGACACAACTGAACCCACGCTCCATCTTCATGGCAGATGTCTCTACATTTGTCTCTGCNAAATATCTTGTCAAATACTAACTTTTGTATTCGACAGAAATGCTTTTAAAAAAACACATAAAGTTTTATTTTTTACAAGTATGCTGGTACTGCATTACAGTGTCAGGTTGGTATGTAGAGCACGATGAACTTTTATTGTGAAGGTTTCGGCCAGCCGGAAGAGGTTGGTCTTATTTTCATCACACTTGACAGGCTCACCAAGCCAAGTCGCGAGAGCTCATGCGCGGCACGAGCACGGCGCGTGGCCGCTCATATAAAACAGAAGGTCCAGTTTGAGACAAAAGTCTAAAGAGGATTTGTTGCGTGAGAAGTCAGAGGAAAACAGTCTGGTAAGATTTAAATTACTGATTATTTCAAGAGGGAAAACAGTCAAACTGGAACTGTTGTTGTTGGGACACAAATGGTTTATTTGATCATTTATGTGTGTGTTTTGTGGGAAAATAAGCTTAAAACGTAACATTTTTGTATTTATTGTATTTACTTGTTTTTATTCAGTTATCGTTTAATAACTACAAAACTTCCCTTGGGTTTTTCCTGACCTTTTCTTATTTTCTAGCCATGAATAGATTGTCCAAAACCTACAGGAGCTCACCCATGTCCTTCAGGGCCATGGGCACAGCTCCCTTCTTTAAAAGTAAGATCACACTTTTCTCACTTAGACTGAAAATACTTGTGGTAAACAGGCTCAGTTTCCTTCCATTCCCCATGTGCTGCTCCCCCCCCCCAACAGGTGACTGTGTTTGAACAGGAGCACTTCCAGGGCAAGTGTCTGGAGTTCATGACCGCGGCCTGGACAACATCCGCTCCATCCGAGTGGAGAGTGGAGCGTGAGTCACACAGCCTGTAGGTCTCAGTGAGCAGCTGATTGTTGTGTGTCTGGTTGTATCTGTATATATGTGGTGTGTATTCTGCATTCACCAAAAAGTAGAGGAGAAAAGTGAGTGATGTGAAATATGTTCAGCATCACCAGAGGAAAAAGCTTGTTTGCATAGTGACTCCCCATTAATTTGCAGTTAGTCAATTTACAGCCTCAAACTTAAATGTACTTTATTAGTATTTTATGTGATATATTTCTGAGAGAAAACCAACAATACCTTGCTGACAGAAGCTAGAAAGGGAGCGTCATTATCCAAAGCAAAGCGAGTCCTGTTCTGTCACAAGCCGAAAAGCTAATCAAACAGGAATTACTTCAAAAATAAATATAAAAACCCAGATGCTTGTTTGCAAATGCACTCAAAGACAGTTAATAAAACTAAAACTGAAGAGCTTGGCAGGAAGATGGAGCTTGCACGTGAGATAACTGTATCGTAACTTTGAAGTACAGAATGGCAGCAGCATGTTGTGTTGATGTTTTGCTGCAGGAGGGACTAAATAGATGGCATCATAAAGATAGAGCATTATGTTGTAATGCTGAAGTATTTACATGCTGGGTAATTCACAAAAAAGATCTAAATATACAAACAATTACATTATTGTTCTATCTTCTATTGTTACATAAATCCCTTCTAATAATCACAAAAAAGAAATCAGTTAATATTTTAAATGTATGCTATTAGATATTTTGTAGATATTTAATGAAACATTTTTTAAAATCCTTTCTGTGTTAAATCAACTGACACATTAGCTTTTACATGTTTAGCCAGTGTTTTAACTCCTGAAACAAAGAGGAAAAAATGCATTTTGTGACATGTCAACACCTACTTCTCACCTTGTGTTATACTTTGAAATAATCACCTTTGCAATTTTCTTTCACAGGAAATACGAGGCAGATTTTACACTGCTGTCAGCACACTGTTGTTTTTGTTCATGAGAAATCTTAAAAAATCA